TTTTTTCAACTCATTCTCCCATCTTTTAATAGGATTGATTCTTTTTCCGGAACAGCTGCTTGAGTTCCTTGTGAATTCTGGTTATCAGTCCTTTGTCTGATGCATAGCTTACAAAAATATTTTCCCATTCTGAGGGCTGTCTGTTCACACTAATCACTGTGTCTTTTGCCATGCAGAAACTTCTTAGTCTGATGTAATCCCACTTGTCTATTTTAGAGATCAGAGACTGTGCGTTGAGAGTCTTATTTAAGTTGTTTTTCCCTACCCCAATGTCTCCCAGATTTTCCCTGGTGTTTTCCAGGAGCAGTTTTATAGTTTGAGGTCTTAGATTTAGATCTTTGATCCATCTTGACTTTATTTTTGTCAGAGGTGATAGGTATGGGTTCAGATTCATCTTTCTGCAAGTGGAGATCCAGTTTTGCCAGCACCATTTGCTGAAGAGGTTTTCCTTTTCAAACTGAATTGACTGGTACCCCTTGTCAAAAATCAGTTGGCTGTATCTTTGAGCATTCATTTCCGGGGACTCTATTCTGTTCCATTGGTCCACCTGTCTGTTCCTGTGCCAGTACCATGCTGTTTTGAAAAATTAAAGTCTAGGGAAAAAAGACTCAACTTGGTTCCCTAAGTTGTCCTGGGGAAAAAAATGATGAGACCCACACTAGAAGGTTCTAAGCAGCTTTAGCAAGGGATCTCTGTGAAGTAGATGTTTACTATTCCCTTTACAATTACAGTTGGTTGGGGCCCGTAACATATGTGAAGTTATGCCTGCTTGTACATATTCAGAAATCTCCAAGATAAAATGTGGAGCCACTTAATGTAGGAATATTAAAAAAAAAGATTCTTGAAATGGAGAAATACACATTATTATTACTTTCTACCCAGATACTAGGAATACCCTTTTACTTTCCTCTGAAAGGGCAAGTAATAACCACTCTGCAGGGTTTTTTAGAATGTCTACTATGTACAGATATGTTAGTTGTCAGGGATACAACAGGGAACCAAGTCAGACCTTGTCTCTGCTCTCAGAGAACTATTTAGGATCAACATAATATGTTGTAGGCAGAAATAATAGATTCTGAAAGTATGCTAATATATGACAGGAGTTATTAAACTAAAGACCACATTCAACATTCTAAAATCCAAGCTAATGCTAAATGATGTAGGCAAGTTAAAATAAACATTCTTGAGTCAGCCAAAAGGGAAGAGAAAAACTCATGTACAATAATCAGCTTGAATTAGGTAGTGTATGGGTGCTGGAAAAAGAGAGAGAGAGAGGAGAGAGGAAGAGAAGAGAGAGTGGGAGAGAAGTGGGCAGGAAGGGAAGGAGGGAGAGGGAGGGAGAGAGATCACATTATTAGAACTTACTTTGGTGGTTTCAGGTCCCTGTGGATTAGAGCTTTGGGTTGCATGCTATGAAGATAAGCCACTCCTTGGGAACACTGTAAACACCAACTCATTGCGTGGGCAGCTGTATAATATGGCAATGGTTCAGCACCATGGAGTACTGCAAAAGAAAGGTACAAACTAAAAAGGACTTTATTGCATATAACAAAAGACAATAGGAATACAAGTCCTATTAGAACTCATGATGGGTATTTTTCTACACATGCTACCATCAATCTTGCTTTTAGTTATTTTCTAAGTAAAAAAGATGTAAACAGTCATCCCTCTGTATCCATGGGGGATCGGTTCTAGAACACTTCTCTGGTGATAGCAAAATCTGAAGATGCTCAAGTCCCTTATATAAACTGGCATAGTACAGTTGGCTGTCCATATCCACAGATTCTGCATCCACAGACATGGACACTCAGGACTGATCATATCTAATAATTTTGAGTGGCTAACTGACACATAAGGATTTTACACTTAATAGCATCTCTAGTAAGTATATTTACACACCCATGTAAAAATAGTATACATTATCATTCTTTTTCAAGTTGATAAAGTTTTTCACACAGTAATATAAACTATGTGCAATTTTATGGCATACTACTATAAGAAAGATGCAAAAAATAGTCCAAGAAAGAAACAAATGATGTGTATCAAGATATATACAACTGTATTTTCTATGACAGCTAAAATCCAGAAGTAGTTCAATAAAATAAAATAATGGAGTATCAGGTACATATTAATGATGAATGCTGGGTAGCAAATGTATGTAAAAGTTTATATAAATAATGGTAAATAAAAAACAAAAATGTAACTATTTTATATAACTAGTATTGTAAGTGACAACACATTGTATGTACATGATTGATATTTTAGGGTGAAAATTCTGTTCTATGAAGGTAACTAAATGATCACAAAGTTTTCTTTTATTGTTAAGATGAAAATGGTCTATGAAGTGAGTTGTCCCATTTTTTTTTTTAATAGTGCAAAACAAAGCAGAAAGAGAAGTTTGATTACGGAAGTTCTAAAATGAGGAGACTCAAAGATAAAAGAATGAAAAGAATAAAATCAATTTAAAAAATTGATAGGCTTTTGGGGCTGGCAAGTGGCAAGGTGGTTACGGTGCTGGACTCCCAAATGGCTGATCATGGTTTGAGTCCTAGACCTGGTGGCTTGCTTACTTGCATTCCCTCTCTCTCTCTGTTTCTCTCTGGTCAAATTAAAGAGAATAAAGAGGAGAAATAAAATTAAATAAAATAACTAAGAAAAAAAATTGATAAGCTTCTAAATTTCACATACTAAATTATAGCATCTTTCTTATCGTTTCATTTTTAATCTTTAGCAGATTTAAAAATTATCTCCTTTTGGGACTCTGATAGTAAACTGTGAAAAATGTTAAATAACTTAGAATTTATATTTAAAGTTTTCAAATGATTTCAATCTAAGTATAGACAGGTCTAATGACACTCACCATTATATAAAGAACCCCCTTCAGCGTATTCCATTACAAGACACACCTAAAGGAAACATGCCAGAAGAATTCATCATAAAGATACAGCATTTTAGAGTCTTGAAAGATAATTTAATTTAACCCCTTGATTTTACAGATGCATTAAAAATCATTCTTTGATTCCTATTATATGAATGGTACAGAGAAAAAAATGTTATCTATGACCTAAGACTCTATGTTTTAGGAGTCTATCAAGAGTGAAGATATATGGGAACCAGCAGTTAATGTAATGGCTATGTTGCTGGACTTCCACGTAGTCAACCGCGGTTTGAGTCCCGGACCCGGTGGCTTAAACTCACGCCAGGTGCATGTGCATGCGTGCCCAAGATCCCAGGAGGAGAATGGAGGAGAAGGGATTGCTGTGTGGCTATCCCCCCTGGGGGGGGAATTTCTTACTTTCTGTCTCTCTGTCTCTCTCTGTCTGTCTGGCGAGCGCACGCGCCCTATAGCGAAAATCTCTCCAAAAAAAAAAAAAGAGAGGTTATTGGGTAAGACCACCTAAAACAACAACTTCAATATACTGGGTTGCAGGACTCCCACATGGTTCGAATCCTGGACCTAGCAGCTTGCTTTCTCACTTTCCCTCTTTCTCTTTCTGTCCCTGTCTGGTGAGTGCACGTTCCCTAAGGCAAAATTTAAAAATAATAATAAGTCAAATATTGAATACTTCTTTAAAGAAAATATATTGCTTTGCTAAAAGACTAGAAATAAATTAAACACAAAGTACAACTGTTTTCTTCAGAAATACATCTAAGATAGCAGATCAAAACTGCTTCATTAGCTACCTAACTGCACATATCTGCCATGTCATTTTTCACAAAGAGGTGACAATAAAAAGGTGACAAACTTACTGGATTCAAGCAGGCTCCATACAGCTTTACAATATTAGGATGGTTCACACGGGACAACTGCCGAAGCTGCAACAAATTAAGGTTCTCTGAAAAAGTGCTATCTTTTGAGGCACCAATTTCACAACATCGTTAAAATCTTGCAGTTGTATGAGACATTTGTTAAATTCACTTAACTATCACTATTTACTACGTAGCAGGCATTGTGGTCATAAACATTGGAAATATCAAGTCCCTGCCCAGAATGGCACAGAATCTGTGTTCTCTGGCTCATACAGTTCAGCTGGGGATTCATAAATGTAAGCCAATAATTAAAGCAATATACAAAGGGCTATAACAGGAGTTATGAACAAGGCATGATGAATACAGACAAGAAATTAACTCTGCCAAGAAATGTTAGGACAGTATTCTGGAGTTGGCACTAGGCTGAGTGATTCTAGCCAGAAGACAGCTGTGGTTGAGTAGCCTGTGTGGGGCTTTGATGGACATTTTATAGATACTGTATGATTATTACAACTCTGTAAGGTAGATATTATTTCTATTTTAGAGATGAAATCTCAAAAGTTAAGGCTCAGAATGGGCTAAATGAACTATGAACTACCCTACAGAGAAAAGTGGTACAGCTAGGGTTTGGACTTTGGTCTATCTGGCTTAAAATGTTCACTCTTTCTATTTCCTTCCTTCCATTCCACTTCCTATTTCTTGAATAATTAATTCATTCTCACTGCCATCGCCTTACTGATTCCAACCTGAACTGCTGTAGTAATTACTACAGATCCTTAGAGCTGGTCTCCCTACTTCCAGTTTTGATCTTCCCTGATTCAGTGATTCCTACTGAGGTTGGCGAGGGGTTGGCAGTACTCATCTCCTTTGTTTTACATCTCAAACTTGTCCCGATGTATTCCTGCCTTCACTGTAGGGCGCGTACGCTCACCAGACAGACAGAGAGAGACATAGAGACAGAAAGCGAGAAATCACCCCCCAGGGGGGATGGTCACGCCGCAATCCCTTCTCCTCCATTCTCCTCTCGGGATCTTGGGCACGCACGCACACGCGCCCGGCGTGAGTTTTAAGCCACCGGGTCCGGGACACGAACCACAGTCGACTACGTGGGAGTCCAGCGACATAGCCATTACGCTAACTGCTGGTTCCCTCCCTACTTCCAGTTTTGATCTTCCCTGATTCAGTGATTCCTACTGAGGTTGGCGAGGGGTTGGCAGTACTCATCTCCTTTGTTTTACATCTCAAACTTGTCCCGATGTATTCCTGCCTTCCCATCCCCATCCCCCCACACTGCTCTTGTGCTCTTTCTTCTCTCCCTTCTCCTCTTTTCCATCCTTTCCCCTCTCTTCTTTCTCTCCTTTACTGTTACCTACATTAATGTGTTGCCTTATATTAGTCCACTAAGGGCTCTAAACCTTTTTTACTGTATGCTACTAGAAAGCTTTGTCTCTCTACAGCCAACATTTGTGGATCTGGGGTCATAACAGAAGAATTAATGTCATCACCAGTTATTATATTACACTGAGTTTCAGATGGCAGATTTTCATGCATGCATCCCTGCTACCTCCCCAAATCTCACTAAATAAGTAAAGGTTTATTTTTTTTAGGCATAAACTCAAAATGAAGAAAAGATGAAATGAGAAAATAGCACACATTTTTGGAAGCTAGAAAACAAGTGACTAGCAATAACTGTGGCAGAGCTCAACTGTAAACTGGCAAGGAGAAAAACCAAGAAGCAACCACATTTATTTCACAAAACCTCCAATAAATTGGGGAGTGGCAATAATCTATCCAAGTATTGGATAGTCAGAAAAGTAATGATGCATTTTTGCATTGGAAAACATAGAAAAATAGGTCATAATTTTTCTGACATGACTTTTCTGACAACCAATACAATACCTTTGCAAATGAGCTATTAAATGTGTGTGCATGTGCTGGGGTGGGTGGGACTGGTTAAGAGTTGGGCCCGAAAATTCCCTTCCCTAACTTCTAACAGTCCCAGGACTGCCTCTTGTCCTACCAGTAGACTAGAGGTCGATTCTTTAGAATTATAACAAACAGTTCAACTTTCTTTATGGTGACATTAAACTAGCCATTAGCATTTCTCAACTCACTCAGCCAATTACAAATGAATTCATTACATCGCAATTAAGTTCTCATTTCTCCATGCATACATTTAAAAATATTATGAAATGTACTTTGAAATTTGGTTAAATGAAAATAGAATTATAAGGTATACTTATGATTATAAGGCAAACTTATCCATTGAAATATGAATGCTAAAGTTTCCCATTTTATTTTTAGATAATGTAAGAGGATGCCTTTTCTTTTCTATTTTAAAATTAAAACAATATACCTTGAAGTAGATCTAAATTCCATGAATGAGGATGTGTTTGAAATCAGAGGTTAATTCACTTATGTAGTTAAGTCTCTTTCCTTCTGATTTTTAATGACAAGTATAAGTTAAAAAAAAAATAATGCCACTACCTTTGGTTCAACCAATTGCTAATGTTCACAAATACAGAGAAATCATGATGGAGAAAGAATCTTTTTCATAATATTAAATTAATAGAGTATTACCAGGTGAAGAACTATGCAACAGAAATGTAATCTGAACTTACCTCTACAATAAAAGCTTTCCTTTCAGATTCACTTTCTATTTGTTTAATAGCAACATCTTTTGCTCTCCACTTAGCTTTGCAAACTACTCCAAAGGCCCCTCTTCCAACAACCTGAGTTAAAAATAAAAAAAAATAAAATAAAATAAATAAGCCAAGAAAACACAAGAATTAGAAGCAAATACAGCCAGTCCAACACACACTAAAACCAAACTTTAAGACTTAATAAAGAAAATTTTAGAAATTTAGAATTTTCGGGCCCAACTCTTAACCATCATCAGTATCTGGATTGGTCACTGAGCAAGTATGAATTTTCATTAAAGTAAGGAGATAATGAAATGTACACGACATAGAAACATAAGCAAAGTAAACTTTTTGCTAAATGCAGAAAGAAAAACACTTAAAACATACAAAAATAAATGCAAATTGAAAAAGATACTTTTTCATCTTTAAAAATGAAAAATAGAAAAAATAATAAATGTTTCAATTTATCTTACTTACAAAATCAAAAAAGTTTTTAAATAATTCAATAAGGGTAAGAGATGCAGAGAAAAATATAAAATTGCAGATGATAAAAAATTGGCCATGATGAATGGATAGTAAAAATGTGGTTAGGGTGCTTACAATGGGATATTATTTAGTAAGAAAATGAAACAAATTACTGATACGTGTTATAACCAGATGAACCTCAAGCAAAGTACAATAGGTGAAAGAAGCCAGACACTAGAGACCTCATACTGTATGATTCCTTGCATATGAAATATCCAGAAAAGACAAATCTATAGAGATAGAAAGCAGATCAGTGGTTATATGGGGATAAGGGTGAAAACTGGAATGAACTTTAAGTGGGTAGCAGGTATCTTGTCAAAGTAATGAAATTGTTTCAAAACTGGTTTATGGTGACACTGATAATTTGGTAAATTTGCAAAAACCACTGAATTGTACACTTCAAATAGGTGAATTTTATTATATATAAAATATTTCATTAAAAATATTTTTTAAAAGTTATAAAAACAAAAATCAGCAACATATCCTATTTCTGTTGAACCTAACTGATGGGTACTGCAGGAATTCATTATTTTGTTATGCTCCCTTCTCTTTTATAAATGTTTGAAAATTTCCATAATATAAAAATAATAATAGAACAAAACAAAAACAGTAGCACAATAGCTAAATGCTATGCAAAGAAAGTCGGATCTCACATAGCCAAACATTGTTCTAATCCCAGTCCCAGTGGCTTGAAAAATAAACTTATGTGTGCATGCATTCCCAAGATAATGACAGAATGGAAGAGAAAATAGAAAAAGATTGCAGTGTGAACACCATTGTGAGGTAGTTTCTCTGTCTCTTTGTCTCTTTGGCAAGTCCACACACTTTCTGTCAATTTAAAATAAAATAAATGAACAAAAAACAAATAGCTTTAGATACTTGTTAGGTAGGACAAAATCAAGATTTCATTATCGAAAAGGATCTTAGGTAAGTGAAATGCACCTCAATCTCTCAACTCCCAATGTCTCTATGTACCCTGGGTCAAGGCCTTGTCTTTATCCACCTCCCATTATCAAATTTCTATGTAGCAGGCACTGAGTTAAGTGTTTTACATACATTACCTCATGTATATAGCCAATATAAGGCAGGTACTAATGCTATCCTAATTTTACTGATGAAGCATCGAGCTTTAAAGAAGTAAACTAACTTGGGACCAGCAGTTAGCATAATGGCTATGTTGCTGGACTCCCATGTAGTCTACTGCGGTTCAAGTTCTGGACCCGGTGGCTTAAACTCACGCCGGGCGCGTGTGCATCCATGCCCAAGATCCCAAGAGGAGAATGGACGAGGAGGGATTGCCGTGTGGCCATCCCTGCCGGGGGGGGGGGGGGGGGGGGGAGATTTCGCGCTTTCTGTCTCTCTCTCTGTCTGGCGAGCACACACACCCTACAGCAAAAGAAACCTCTCCAAAAAAAGAGAAGTAGACTAACTTGTGCAAGGTTGTAGAGCTAGTAAGTGGTGAAGTACAGGCTGATACTAGGCAGTTTAACACCAGAATGTTAGTTACCCTAATCTGTAACATAATAAAACCTTTCAGATAAAGAAAGTATAAGTTATGTCTTCTCTTAGACAAGTAATCACATTAGACAAACTTAATATGAACAAATCCTTGGCACAAAACTCATCTCGAGCAAAGCTAACTATAGCTAGAGTGATGGAATATTCATTATTTACACTGGGAAATTCTGTAGAGTCAAAATGGGACACCAATAATTATACCAGGACAGTAGTTATGGTCACTTTAGTCACAGCTCGAATTTCATTGCATAAACCACATAAAGCAGTAGGAACATTTCTCATATTGCTCAATGTATAAAGCCAACCAAAGCTTAACATTCATTGTTTATCATGTGCCAGGTACTATTCTATTGGGTTGTTGGAAAAGTCATGATAAATTTTTGCATAGAAAAACACAGAAAAAAATACTTTGTGACTTTTTTGACAACCCAATATATGTTTTCCATCCATTAACACATTTAATCCCTCTCTATTTTAAAGGTAAGCAAAGGGACATGGTTGCAACCTGCCCAAGATCACATGGTCAGAAAGTATTCAGGGACCAGCAGTTAGTGTAATGGCTATGTTGCTGCACTTCCTTATAGCAGACCATGGTTTCGAGTCCGGGACCCAGTGGCTTAAAACTCACGCTTGTGTGCATGCATGCCCGGATCCTGAGAGGAGAATGGAGGAGAAGGGATTGTGGCATGGCCATCCCCCCTGGGGAGTGATTTCTCGCTTTCTGTCTCTCTCTTTCTGGTGAGCGCACTCGCCCTATGACAAAACCCTCCCCAAAAAAAAAAAATGTATTCAGAGAAGCCATGATCTGAAGTCTACAACACTTAATGACCAACACACTCTATATTCACCTACTGCCACCGGCTAAAAGGAAACTGGGCTACCTGTAGGCAAAATCGAAAAGGAGGCCATCTCTGGTAGCTAGTCTGTCCTTTGGTGATTTTTCCTTCTGTCATTCCTGGCCCTGGGTATTCAGGGTTCCTCTGCTTTTAGGCTCTTGCCTAAACACATCTCTCCTGCACACCTCTCATAAGAGAAATGAACCAACATCATTCATTTGTGCTGGCCATCCAGTTACTTTTCAATAAATAAGTACAGGCTCTCTGGGACCATTAGAATAATGAGTAGCACATCTAGGTCCTGAAACCCAACGCACTTGAGCTTCTAAATCTGGGCATGTTTTACTTTATGTTTTATTAACAGTAAAATGGAGATGCTTATGTATTCCTTAGTAAATATCTATAGGATTCCTAAGTTTAAACGAAACGTGTTCTCAAGTATTACAAAAGAATAATTAGTGCTTAAGAGTTGGGTATGGATCAATATAAGGAGCTAACCCTAACTCATTCTTCTCACAATAAACTAAATGAACAAGTCCTAAAAATTTTCAGCTTTTGCCAGGCTAAGAAGATAAGCATGGAACCCAGTCTAATTATTGATATTACTAAAACTATGAAATACAGATTATGAAATAATATAATATATTCTTCAATTATGCATTTATAAATATATCAAAGCAACTGACACTTAGTACGACTGACCTTATTTCATGTTTCTATTCTGAGGAATGTCCATGCAGATACTTGTATCATTACCTATATTAGTGGATGTACTTGTTGCAAAAATTGGAAGGACTAGTAGTGATTCACAAGTGCCACCTAGTGATGAGACGATGGCTGATCTGCGCTTTCGGCTTAAAACCATGGGAACAAAGTACAGGCAAATGAGGACATGACAAACCTCCCTTTTGCTTGGGGAAGCAGTTTTTCACAACACCTTGAAATATAAAACAGGCACTTTCATGTAAAATGAGAGTCTAAGGCCTCAAGAAACCTCCACTCTCATTAGGAACATAAGGTACTTTATAAGCATGGTGAAACAAGAAGATCTAAAATGATCAAGGAAGTCCAAGATGTCCAATGCTGTACACAAAAACTGAAATGCATGACAGAAATAACAAATCGTGTGACTTCTAAAGAACAAGGTTATTAGTATAAAGTAAATGCTTAAAGAATTAACTCTCTGTGGACCAAAACAATGATTACACATTCTTTTTTAAGGGGCATAAATGTAGAGAAATAAAAGGGATAAAAAGAAAAAAACTATATATTTAAAAAATTGACCTCTTTTCATGGGATGAAAATGAAACAGAGAAGAAATTTTCCAAGACAGACAGAGATACAAGGGCAGAAAGGACTTACTCCTCTCACTTCTCTCTTAGATGCCCAAGAGCAGGCAGCCTAGCATAATGTGTTCTGCACCCCAGACTCTCTTTGTGTCCCAGCAGAACACGGCAGATAAGCGCTTGCCAAGAGAAAAGGTTAACAGAAAATTAATGTGGTCTTTTTAAAAAATAAGTTTCTCATCAATAAAGAACTGATTAAAAAACAGTTCCACCTTAACCTCCAATGACTCCTCTTCCTTTATCCAAACTTTACATGCTAATGTCTAAAGTTCTGTCTAGTGCCCTTCTCAATCTCTTCTAATCATGTAGCTTTTCACTTGCTAATCTTTTTCTCATTCAGGCATTTTTGCCTAAGCTCAGGAAATATTTAAAACCACCTCTACAAGTTGATTCTACAGGTACTCCAAGTTCAATATATCAAATACTGACTCCATTATATGTCCCTTCCTTTTAGCATGATGCAGTTCACTCAACCTTGGATAAGTAGACTAACAGATGATATTAAGTTTTGCTGTTACATCTCCCATTGTTTTAAAATATTTATCTTTCATGTTTTATAATGTATGTATTTTACACACATGCACCTAAAGCTGTGAGTGGATAAAACACTTATTAAAAGATAACAAAAAAAAAAAAAAAGTAGAGACCATTGCCCTGGTTAAAAAAGTACATTATCTATCTACTCTCTAGTTCTCACAGGTTGACACTAAAATAGAACTCTGTTGATGGGCAAAGATATTACAAGTATGCATTTTTTTTTTCCGAGTTTGCCATGGGGTATATGTACTTGCCAGAGAGAGAGAAAGAAAGAGAGAGAGAGAGAAAAATCAACCTCCTGGGGGGGGAGGGGATGGCCATGATGTAA